ATTTTATTTTTTTTGGTTTTTCTCCGGTACCAGGAACCGAACTCACGACCTTGCGCTTGCCAGGCAGGCGCTTTGCCGCTGAGCTAAATCCCCAGCCCTCCCTTACTTTTAAAAAGGGTTCTCAAATGACACTTGTGAAATGCTATCTGGTCACCACTCTCTGGCTGGTTAAATCTAAATAGCATAGAAAAAGATAAATGAGTTGGAGAAAAGGCATTCAAAGTAGACAGGAGATTGCTCTGAGCAAATGATTAGCTCAGGTATTTGTTTAAAAGTGCTGACTGGGCACGGCGTGCAGGTCTACACTCCCAGTACTTAGGAGGCTGAGGCAGGAGGATTGCCTCAAATTCAAGGCCAGCTACGTAGCAAGACTCTCTCAAAAAACCAAGAAAAAAGAAAGAAAGAAAGAAGGAAGGAAAGAACAAAGGAAGGAAAGAGAAAGAAAAAGAAAGAACAAAGAAAGAAAGAAAGAAAGAAAAACAGAAAGAGAAAGAAAAAGGGAGAGAGAAAAGTAGGAAAAGTAACATGCTCTGCAGACCAAGTTTGGGACAAATAAAAGTAGGAAAAAAGTACACTCTACAGCGTGAGAGTGGCCCACTTTGGGAGAGAACTCAGAAGCCAGAAATATATTTTTCTTGAGGAGATTTCAGGGCATTTCCTGCTTTTGTCCGTAATTCAGTGATATTGTTCCTATTTTTCTTGGCTAAAGAAAGCTCATGACTAAAATATTTCCTCACTACAGCTGTGTTCCTTCCTTCAAGAGTTCTTATTTGTTTGCGCATTGCTGGTATTGGGAAGTCTTGTTTATGGTTTTTCCAGTACTGGAGCTTGAACCTGGGGTGCTCTGCTGCTGGGGTACATCTCCAGGCCTTTGCAGTTTATTTGGAAACAGGGTTGCATGAAGTTGAACTTGCAGTCTTCCTGCCTGGGCTTCCCTCCGTGCTGGGATTATAGGTGTGCACCACCGTGCCTGGCTTTATGGAGAGATTTTGAAAGGTCAAAATCTAGTG